TACACCATAGGAGTGTTAGAATGCTCAAAACCCAACATCATTGTCACCTGCTTCGTCAAAGATCATATGAGATGCTCTTGCCTTTGGCTTTGGAGGCATATTCTCTCTTGCTGCTTCATTTTTATTCGGGAAGTCCCTAGAAATATGTCCTTCTTCCTTACATCCGTAACACACCCTCTTGTTAAATGTACACTCATTAGCGTAATGCCCAGTCTTACCACACTTGAAACAAGTCACCTATCTACCATATTTTCCACAGTGTTTCTTTTTGCATTTCTCACACCATTTTTCTGTACCCCCTCCTCCAGACTTTGAGAACATGTTGTTATTGTTGGACCTTGAAGATCCCTCAAATTTCCTCTTCTCGCCAACCTCAACCTTGTTAGCGGTTCTGCCTTTGATCATTTCTTCAACAAACCTAGCAACCCAGATGGATGCCTGAAGTGTAGGTGCCTGGCGTACTGGCACAGTAGGTTCTTCCTTAATTTGTTGAAGTAGACACATTGTCTCTTCCATCTGACGATCCAACATCATCTGCATCATTGCTCGTACTCCTGTCATCATGATTGGCTCGGGTGCAGCTGCTACTTCTGGTGCACGCTCAATCACTTGTGGCTTAGGCTGCGGGTTACCGCTTCCCAATCCGCTTCGAGTTCTCACCATGTTGATCTATACACCAAATCAGACGTTCGGTGTGCAGTGACGAGAATTAAGATATGGAAAACTTTATTTACGATAGACGTATAAATCTCCTTATCACTCCGAAAAGTTACATGCAAGTCCTAATACCGTAATTAAAAGTTTAGAAATCTGAACACATAAAATTTCCAGATCCGGTCGACAACAGACCATAGATCCGATCAAACGATAGCATCATAAAGCATATAAGGCATCTTATAGCATAAATCATTTAGCACATAAAAGCATTTTAGGCATCTTCCCTAAATAAGCTAGTGTTTGTGTCTATTCAGGTGTACTTCCTAAAATATATTAGACACACTCCTTACGATCATCGCTTAACATTCAAAGTTTAAGTTTAGAAATTTCCTACAAATTCCTAATTCGCTTAAACTAATGCTTTGATACAAACTGTAACATCCCCAAATTTACGGTCATTTTAAAAATTTTATTTATGCTTATTTAAAAATCAGAGTATCCATTTTAAAAAGTAGTATTGCGGAATTTGTTCCCAGAAAAACATGATAATAATATTAGCAAAGCATTTCCGAGAGAAATGTATTTTGTTTATATTAAAACTTTGGGATGTCATTGTCAATACAGAAATATAAGCATAAATAGACCTTACATTCATTTACACTAATGATTTACATCTCCTTTAATCTCTCAGTGTAATGTGTCTTCGTATCGATACCTATGATACAAATAAACTGAGTGGGTCAGGTTGGGAAACCTGGTGAGTACATAGGGTTTTCAACCCACAATAATAAAGTTATTCTGTTTCATCATCAAACAATTAACCCAAATTACCCATCCCCATTATCTTCTTTATTCTTAAGTATCTTCCCTAAGAATCATCTATTCCTCAATATTGATTCCTAAGGAATAGGCACGAAGTCCATCGCTGCCAGGGTTTATATAACAGACACTAAGTCCATAGTTGTCGATGTTATCTGTTAGGCACTAAGTCCATAGCTGCCAATGTTCATCTATAGGGCACAAAATCCATAGCTGCCAACGTTTATTTTTAAGGCACTAAGTCCATAGTTGTCGGGGTTTTTAGAGTACATCTGGTGAACATATCGTTCACAACACCTATAGGTTGCGAGCCTGCTAGCATTCCACTGGACTGTCTAGAATAGTCTATGGTTGTCATCTATACTTTGTTAGATGACTGAGCCATCACTTGGTCAAGGCTTCTCATCATCTTTCACCTCTCATCATATATATCATCTTTCATCTCTCATATTTCATCTACCCATCTTTACCCATCATAATTATAGGTATAAAGTACATATACAGTTTCAATCGAATAAAACATGTATATTTTGTTCATCCAACATAGATATCAAGAACACAGATAATATGCACACATAGCACGTAATTTATATTAAATACTTCATATCTATGTGTAAGATAAAAGTAACTATGCACTCACTTGTTAAAGTGACGATTCGAAATTCGGGCAGCACTTCGCTTCTAACAATTTTCTTTTCCTTCGACGAAACCTAGTATTATCATTACTAGATTTTAGTCTAATATGTATTGCGACTAATTATTAGTCTAGATTTATCATTAACTCAAAGTCTACGAGCAATATTGTTTTTCTTGTATTTTATAAGTGTTAAACAATACTTTTCAACTACTATGGTACAGACAGGGGCCAAACATGAAACACCAGAGGGTAGGACCATTTTGGCATTAAAGCTGTTCTGAAATCCAACAACCCTATGCGGCCCTTCAAACCAGATTCCCCGTACCGCGAGCAGTTAAAAGGTATTATAATAAAACTTTGTATAATTCATAATACTTAGCACATATATTGTTTATAGGTTCATAATAACGACAATGAACTTAAGCATAAGCTATACTTAAAGAAGGGTAAGCATAACTCACTTACAATGGAGTTTGGCTAGGAGCCGAACTCTGCGGGGGCAGAACTTCTGAGCCGAAATCTATTCTTCTCGGATCCTTCTGGCGCTCCGGGAGTCGCCTCTAACACTTAGGAAGTGCTACGGAAAAGAAGAGAGGGTTTGGGGGTATTGGGAGAGAAAGGATAAGAAAGGTGTGAAGAAAATGAGTGATTTGCGCCTCTATTTATAGGCTGTCCAGGGGCGATTCACGTCGTGAACTTTACATTCGCGTTGTGAACTTGGGTGGGCACCAAAGCTTCGCCTGATGCTGACACGTGGCACAAGACGCAGGTAAAACAACCAATCTTAAAAAATTCACAACTTTCGCATACGTGCTCCGTTTTTGACGTTCTTTATATCCACACGTAGGTATTGACAAGATCTACAACTTTACTTTTGACCCCATCGGCTAATTCTTGACCGATTTTAAATTTAACAGCCTGAGAAGATTACACTGGTAACGACCGTGTAAAATTCATAACTTCTACATACGGACTCCGTTTTCGACTGTTTTTTTTATCGTTGAACTCCTATTAATGAGATCTTCAATTCTCATTTAGATCATTTTGGCTAAAAATTGACCGATCTAAAATTCGATTTCTGAGCTGTAGTATACTGCTACGTTGAAACTTCGAAAAATCATAACTTCCTCTTATGAAGTCAGATTTGGACATTCTATATGCACGTTCTCGGTCTAGCGTATACTACGACCTTAGTTTAGATTGCTAAGGATAAAAGGTAGCTTATCAAAAATTCACTTTTTACGATACGCGGTGCTATGTCGGTTTAATCGCAAAACTTCGACGAGCCATAACTTCTTCGTTAGGTGTACGGAATCCTTGTGACATATCCAATAACTTTGGTTATGATTATTTATCCAAAATAATCTTCTATCAAAAAGTCATTTTTAATGCTTATTATCTCTAAATTGACAGCCCGAATTTTCAGGCGTTACAATTATTCCATAAAATATTGATAAAGATCATAGGCTTATGGATCCACTTTGTTTGAAAAGATATTAGGTAACCAAAATAGACGAATCGCGTAGAATGTAGATGGTCACCCGAATTTGGGCTACAAGGCCACAAAGTGTATCCATCTTTCATCTTTTTTGTGCCATCTCAACAATACCTCATTTTCCCTTTAGTTTCTCCAAACTCTTGAGAACCCAGTAAATGATCACATTTCATTTTCTTTCATTTTTTTCACAATAAAATTATTTTATTTTTAGAAATTAAATGTTAATAAATAATTTAAATTAAATAAAAAATAGTTACTAACACAAAAGAAATAAAAATCCTAATATTTTAATTTAAATTAATTTTAGAAATTAAATGTTAATAAATAATTTAAATTAAAAAATAATTTAAATTTAAATTAAATAAAAATAGTTAATAAATAAATTTCATTACTTGAAAATAAAAAATTACATAATTGAAAAAGAAAAAAACCAAGAATTAAAATAAAACAAACATAAAACCAATCTACGAGAAATATTTTTGATTGTTAATTTTGAAAAACAAGCATTTTTTTTTGTTATTAAAAAAAATCGACTATTAGCCAATCACAAGAAGAGAGAAGTTCCGAGGGAGGTACCCCGTTCGGAAAGAAACCACACTGAGAGACGAGAGTATAGTGTTCCCTGGTGCTGTTTAGTTCTATTCAGCAACCACACAATGCGGTTTGGATGTACACCGTGTGGTCTAACCAAAAAAATAAAAGGATTCATACGCATTAAACTTTCTTAAAAGAATTTAAGATACCTAAATTAAAGAAATATGAAACGTAATTATTATTCAATGGCATTGACCATTATCTCAAATAACGGGGTAATTCATCGATTGAATAATACACAAAGACTTTTCATGAAAGTTGATCTAACTTTTCTTTACACGCCAACTTTTACTTCCAAAATCATACAGGAGAGAAACATATTCAGGGTTAAGGATATTTATAAAATCATAGATAATTTTTTTACGCTTTTTTCATTGAATTAGTAAATTTATAATACTAACAATTTTTTGGCTCTGAAAGAAATTGAATATTAGACTCTATGTGAAATATTGCATCTTAACCATTAGACTTTTAGGGTTTAGACTTTTATTGTGATAATTAATTTCTTTGATGACCTAAAAAAGTAAATCATTTATTTCAAAAGAAACAATCTATTTTTGGTGAAGGTGGAAAAATTCCAACACTTTAAAGTGAATATAATACTAACACTTTAATTTGAGGTGGAAAAATTCCAAGTGTATTATGTCATTATATTTTTACTTCTATTCATAAACATATCGTTATACTTTTTTATATTTTTGACATGTTACATAGTTATGTATACGAACACAACAATTTTTCTAAAGATCAAACAATAAATTTCAACAAATCAAGAATTACATAACAATCAACCAATAAATATAAAAAGATTTACATAAAAAATCCAAAAGATATACAAATACATCGCAGATATTTCAGTTTCATGGGTTAATTTAAAAAAATATATATATATTTTTCATATAAATTAGTTTACATTTTTCTTAACTTTTGTTTTAAAAACTAAAATGTACAATTTTTCCATGGAAAAATAGAGAAAACACCCGGTTGCATGGGTCACGAATGAGCCAAAATTTGAGCCCACAATACAATGCCATGCTGGCCCATATACCTTGTCAAACTCCTGTCACACACATAAAAAAAACATAAAAAGTCAATTAGTCAAATATCAAATGTATCATGAGTTTTAACTTATTTAAACAAACAACTATTTATTTAATAAGTGACCTATGGTGTGTTTTTGTTTATGATGGTTAACCTTTCAAAAAATAACAAATTAAAAGGGAGAATCTAAAACTAATTAAAAAAACTTAATTATATATTTTTTAATTTTGTAAACACATGGGTGGTCAAAAGCGAAGTTTGATCATAATCACAGTCACAAGAACAGTTGGTGGATAATTTTAATTTATATTATAATATTCGATTTTTTAAGAATTTGGTATCAATTGTATTTGTTTATTGATATGACAAGAATAAAAAATGTCAGGACCATAAAATATATAAATTAATAATATAACCCGTCACTAAAAACAAATCTAAAGCACATGGGAGTATTGTGACAGTTTGATGGTGTTTGCTCAATGGTTAACAAGATCCAAATCATATTAAATGTACTTGTTGCACAAAGAAAAGTTGGGGGAAGATTTACATAGAAAAGGGCACATATATAAATTATATTATATATATTTAAATATATATAACATTGTAAAAAAATAAATAAATTAGAAGAAACGATATATTCAAAAAATTAATTGGTATTTTGAAGCTTCATCATCTTATATTTGTATACGAGTATTCAACAAAAATAACTGAATCTTTTTAAAAGATTTAATTTACATAGAAGGACATCTTTGTAAAATGTAAATTAGAAACATAATCTAAAGAAAGTAATAATTAAATTAATTTGCAAAAATATAAAAGAATTTCTTGAAGTATATTTTCGATATAAAACTTTTTTGTTTAAGCTAAAATGTCCTACTTTCAAACTAATTTTTTTTGAGCTTTTTCGTAAAAGCTAAAAAAAGCTATAAGTTTTCTATATATAATAAAAATAAAAATAAAAATGTAAGGTAAAATGAAGTAAAATTAGAAGTAATGAAAAATTAATGGAAGCTAGACATACCTTTTTGAGGTTAAGGGCAATTTGTTTAGAGCTAAATTTCTCTAAGCTATCAAACGTTTGTCTAGCACACCGGAATGCATGAATTTGCATGAACGCCGGCATGTCCGTCACTAAAACCCTAATCTGCATTAACGCCGCCATCGGTGCTGCATTTCCCAAACTCATCTCCGCCGCATTCCCCACCGATCTCCTCCCAGTCGACTCCATTAACTTCCTCCCTCCTTCCATCACTGAAACAGATTTTCTTGCAGATTCTTGATGAACCATCTCTTTCTTGTCTTCTTTATCATAATGCTGTTGATTAATCTCATTTTCCCGGTAGGTTTTGGATCTTTTTAGTAGTCCCCAACTCCGGGAAACAACTTTCTTGTTCATTGACGGTGGTGGTGTTTGTGGGTGGTGGTGGCCTCCTCCGGTGTCTAGTTTGTACACATACATTACTCCTTTCTTTTGATTCTCGTGGGAAGACATTTTTAATAACACCAAATTTCTTCTTGAATATGAAGATGGAAAGAGATGAGTATGGTAAGATAGCGGTAATGGCCGCGGCGGTGGCGGTGGTGGTGGTGGAAGAAGAAGACGGTTTTGACTTTTTTTAGAAGGAAAGCATGTGATGATGCAGAGGATAATTTATAGGATGCTGCAGAACTTCTTTTTTTTTTTTTTTTTTTTTTTTTTTTACAAGGTCTTCAAAACAAAAGGTGAACATGCGAGTAATTATATGAACTATAAATATAAACAAACATATATCGAAAGGAATATATATAATATAGATATTATATATATATATATATATATTATATATATATATATAGATATATAATATATAATTTATTTGTTTTATTTTATAGCTATTATTTACATTTTCGGCTCCTTCTAATTTTTAGCTATTATCTTATAAATATATAATATTTTTATTGAAAAGTCGGGGGATTTGTAGTTTCGAAACCTGTATTCAGAAAACAACGGTTCCAAAATATTGAGAGCCATAATTGGAATTGGAATGATCCCAAACAGTTCCATGTATTAAGAACTAAATTGGAACCAATCACATTAATCTCAGTTCCAAAACCGATAGTTTTGGAGCGGTTTCAATTCTGAAGGCAATTACATGGTGTTAACCCCTAGCTAAAAAATCCTACAAATTCACTATATTAATTTTCTAAGATCCAAACTCTGATTACAAAATGCTTTTTATTCCGGTCAGTGAAAAGATTGCGAAATTCACCACATTTGTTTTTAATGGTTTTTCATATTTTATTTATGAAAAATGGATTTTTTGGTTGTTTTCTAAAGATAATTATTTCTTACAAATATAAATACACTTCTATTTTGTGAAAATAGTTTAAGTGATCGATTACACAAAATCATTATATTTAAAAAAATAATCAATTTTGATATTACATTTATTTTTATTACAATTTAGCAATAAGTTTTTTAATTTTTGCAATATTGATAACTTAACTGTGTAACCCACTTACACATTAACGTGCAAGTCTTTGATGGCGTGACGTACTGACATGACATGACATGATTATATATCAAAATTAAGAGAAAACATTACACGAAAGAAATTTAGTTTTCATATTTTTCAATTTTGAAGTTAAATTTTCATTTTTTTTAAAGTTTTGACACTCCTATTTTTGTTCCAAATAAAATAGCACTTTCCCATTTTGATAACCATATTAAAAAAAAAATTAATTTTTTTTAGCACTTGTCTAATATCTAAAAGCACATGCAATTAATTAATTTTGTGATTTTAATAATTATGTATTAAGATCAATCTTTTTTCATACAAAATATTATGTTACAACATTAACAATTTAATAAAAACTGTATTTATTAAACTATGAATGTTGTAACAAAGTTTTGTTTTGCATGAAAAAATATATCGATATTAATACCTAATTATAGAGTACAAAGATGATTAATTGTATATGTTTGATTATTTTTAAAACAATAAAAAAGTGTACAAAAAAATATATTAATTAGCTCTCTTTGTTTTATCTAATTGCACCTCAGATTTAATTAGATCTATTCTTTTGGTCTAACAAGTTAAAATGCAGATGAATTCTCATGGAATTCCATTAAAATAAGCGACATGACTATTAGATCAAAGGCCAAGATCGATATGAGCAAAATGATATCGAAATCATCTTAGTTGTTTGTAGGGGTGCAAACGAGCCAAGCTACTCGCGAGCTACTCGAGATCAGATCGTTAAAAGCTCGACTCGAAATCGATTTTAAACGAGCCCGAGTCGAGCTCGAGCTTAATATTAAGCTCATTTATTAATCGAGCTCGAGCTCGAGCCTATGTCACTAAGCTCGATTAAGCTCGCGAGCCTAAACAAACCTTTATATAATATTATTTATTATTATTTATATATATTAAAATAAAAACTTATTAGGAAATTATTGATTTAGAGTATTAGTAAACGAGTTTCTTAGCGAGCTCGAGCCGAGCTTAAGTTTATTTAGGTACGTCAGATAAAAAACGAGTCGAGTCCGAGCCCAAGCTGAGCTTGTATAATTCTTTATGAGCTCGAGCCGAGCTCAGTACAAGAAGCCTCGGGCTCGGCTCGACTTGTTTGCACCCCTAGTTGTTTGAATTTTGTTTAGTGTATTGTACTTAAGAGAATATCATCAACACAATATCATTAATCATGATACATATTGTCACTGAACTATATATATATATATATATATATAGATATATATATATAGATATATATATATATATATATATATATATATTATATATATATCAAAGGGAGAGATGTAATTAATATTTTTAGTTTTATACATTATTTTATTTTTTAAATATAACGAAAAATATCAAAATTAATAAGTTTTATACTACATATAGATTAATATCGATATATTTTCAAATAAAAAATGACAAAATTACATAAATGGTCATCGTGGTTGACAAAATCGACAAATTATGGTCCTTATGATGAATTCTTTACATAGATGGTCCCTTTGGTTTCAAAATCTTGCAAAGACAGTCCTTTTAACTAACGGTGTTAACTTTTTCAGTTAAGTCCTATGTGAAATGACATATTTGTCCTTCTTGCATAGGGACAATTTATGTAATTTGTTCATGCCACAGGGATTATTTTCTTTATTATTTATTATTTTTTTTATTTAATTTAATTATATATTTAAGGATTTAGAATTTTTTAAGATTTGTTTAAATATTTGTTTAATGTTTATATATAACTATATATAGATATATGATATATATATATATATATATATATATAGATATTCGCAACATTTTTTGACGTTTTGCTCAAATTATTTTTTCTAATATTTTTGACGTTTTCTTAAAGTACATTTATTAATGTTTTTTTGATGTTTCGTTGGAATAAATTTTTTTTTTTTGACGTCATGCTCGAATGTATATATATATATATATATATATCTCTCTATCGATATCTATCGTATGTTTATATTTGTTAAAGGATTGCATGGCTACTGTAATTATAATTCATAACTTAATTAACTTTCAATCAAGTTTTTATTTTTCTTTTATCAGGTTATATAATTATTAGTTTTTAATTCAAATATTTAACTATATAACATATATAAGGTTAACACTTTTTATGATAAAAAAAGTGTAAAAAACTTGTTAAACATGAATAAATTAATATAGATTAGGTAGACATATGTTAAGCTGAGACCGTCTCACACTCTTAATTAACTTTCAATCAAGTTTTCATTTTTCTTTTATCAGGTTATATAATTATAATTTTTTAAATTCAAATATTTAACTATATAACATATATAAGGTTGTATCATTATTATTTTAGTAAATTATTTTTTTAATAAAAAAAAGTGTAAAAAGTTTGCTAAACGTGAATAGATTAATATAGATTAGGTAGACATATGTTAAGCTGAGACCGCCTCACATCCTTGTCGAGAGCGACCATGTCATTTCACATGGATTTAAATGTAATGTTTTCGAGTTATTTTTTGTTTTTAGACATTTTGTGCATTTTTTAGTTATATAGATTTCGATTAGCCTATGTATAACCTGACACCCATTTCGAATTCCGATTATCATATGTATTCCAATTAGCCTATTTATATTAATCCTATTCAAGTTTAACAAACTTTTTTATACTTTTTTTTACAAATTTTTTTTATAAAAAACTTTACAAAAATAATACTCATACAACATTATATGCTTTATATAGTTAAATATATGAATTAAAAAAATAATAATTATATAACCTTATCTATATTAAAATAGAAAGAAAAGAAAGGAAAACATGATCGTAAGTGAATTAAGTTACGAATTATGATTACAGTGGCTATAAATTCTTCAAAAATATTAAAAAAACAAAACCTAATAAAAACATTAAAAAATGTATTAGAATAAAACGTAAAAGAATTAGGAAAAATTATTCCAATAGAACATCAAAAAACATCAATAAATGTATTTGAAAAAACGTCAAAAAAATAAGAAAAAAAATATTTGAAAAAACGTTAAAAAATATTTGCCAAATAATAAAAAAGAAAAACATTAAACAATATATTCAAACAAAACCTTAAAAAAAATCTAAATCCTAAAATATATAAATAAATTAAGTAAAAATAAAAATAAATAATAGAGAAATTGTATAAATGGTCCCTGTGGCAGGAACAAATTAAATAAATGGTCCCTATATTGGAAGGACAAATATGTCATTTCACATAGAAATGAATTGAAAAAGTTAACAGCGTTAGCCCAAAGGACCGTCTCTACAAGATTTTGAAACCACAGAGACCATCTATGTAAAGAATTCGTCATAAGGACCATAATTGGTCGATTTTGTCAACCACAAGGACCATTTGTGTAACTTTGTCTAAAAAAATTTGATGTTATAACATTCACTATTTAAATCATGTTGTATATTAAAATGTTAACGTTGTAACATAATATTTTGTCTTAAAAATAGAGATATATTGATGTGTAATTATTAATATTATAAAATTAATAAATTTAATATATTTTAGATAATAAACAAGTGTTAAAAATAAAAAATTGAAAATTAGAAAAAAAATGATTATCAAATTATGAGCTAAAAAAGTTATGAAAAAGTAGCAAAATATATAAAGTTTTTAAAAATACTATTGAAGTAAAAAAAAATATGAAAGGGTAA